TTCCAGGCAAGAGCCTGGAAGTTTCCCTGTAGGGAAACAGGCTGGAGGTCCGGGACGCGCCCTGCAGGGCCCGTGTGGCTGCACAGTATGCCACACCCCCCCCTCCTTGAAAGACCGAGCTTACCTACGAGGGCGAAGCTGTCTGTCTGAGGGAGGGACCACAGTCCGGGTGGGAGGGGCAGGTCGTGGAGGTCCCTTGGCTAACCTCTGTCGCTCGTAGTGAGCGTAGATCAGCGGTGCAGACGCTTTCAAATCTGCTCCTGAAATCCACCGAGTGCCGTCGGGATCGCATGCTCTGAATGTAATTTTGTACTGGCGCGGCTTGTTGCCATACTTGCGATCTGAGATGACGCGGTCAACCTTCTGATGACCATCCATAGAAGGAGGGTCCTACGATCGTCGGCCCGGGAAGTCATCGCTCTTAGCTGGTGTATATGTTGCCAACTTTGACGCATGAAAGACTGGATGGACCGTCAGATGCTCAAGAATGTCGATCACAAATGAAGGGCCATCGGGCTCATCGCCCGCGGCTGATGTCACTGTCCATGGTCCAAACCACTTAGGGAGTAGTTTGCATGAGACATCCTGTTCCAATGCAAACTCTTCCGAGGAGACCCAAACTCGATCTCCGGCGCGGATGGGACATGGTACGCGGCGCCTGTTGGCTTGCTGCTGCATCCAGACTTGAGCCTTTTGCATGTTTGTGCGGGCTTGAGCCAGCAATTCCCTGTACTTCCGGACGGAAGCGGGAGAGCAAGCGGCATCAATGTCGTCTGGTCGAGGGAGGAGAAGATCAGTGAAGATACGGCCTTTCCGTCCACCGTGGTGCAACTCGAATGGAGTCACACCGATCGCCGGGTGCACTGAAGTGTTGTAGGCGAACTCGATGTCGGGGAGGCGGTCAACCCAATCTTTCTGGTCCGGACGGATGAGCGTACGAAGCATCATTTGAGCGGTCTGATGTGCCCGCTCCGTTTGCCCGTCTGTCTGTGGATGCCGAGCCGAACTGGGTTTCATCGTCGTGCCGGACTCCTGCATGAGAGAGGTCCAAAAAGTCGACATGAAACGAGTGTCGCGATCGCTGACTATGTCCTCGGGTACGCCGTGGCCACAAATCCAACCGGTGTGCAAGAGGCGTGCCAGCTCGGGAGCCGTGGAGTAGTACTTGCAAGGAAGAAAACGTGCGTACTTGCTCAATCGGTCCACAACCGTGAGGATGCCGTCGTGCCCGAGCCGGTCTCGAGGAAACGGACCGGTGACATCCATAGCAATGGAGATACCGGGTTCCCGGGGGATAGGCATCGCGCGTAACTCGCCATAGGGATTGCGGTTGCGGGGTTTGCTGCGTCGGCAAACTTCGCAAGAATCGCAATACCGCATGACATCGGAAATGAGGTCGGGCCATCGGAATCGTTATCGAAGCCGTGCAATCGTGCGATTGACTCCAAATGGCCGGCGAGTCGCGAATCATGATACTCGCCAAGAAGGCGAGTCCGAAGACGGCGGTCGCGTGGGACACACAGTAAGTCCTTGCCTCTCGAGTGGAGGAGCAAGTACCCGTCGACAATGCGATAGTGGCTGGCCGGCGGGTGATCCGAGATACAACGTAGCAAACTCTGGGTCAGACTGATAGCCCCTGATGAAGTGTCGCTGGAGGTCCTCGTCGAACGCGAAGGTGTGATGCGTCATAGCGCAAAGATCAGGTCGTCGCGAAAGTGCATCTGCTGCGCGATTGGAGAGGCCGTCAACGTGTTTCGGTGTGAAGTCAAACTGGTCGATGAAGTACATCCACCGTCCAATCGTGCTGCTCACCGTGTCCTGCGTCTTGTAGTAGGTCAATGGGTTATTGTCCGTGACCCATCCGGAAGCGTCAGTTGTCACTCTCGTAGGCAGAGTGGGGTCGTAGATGCTAAGGACGGGTGCCATGAGCATGGCCGTCTTGAGTGCTTGGAAAGCCTGGCGCGTGTCGTCATCGAATACGAATGGCACCTTTGGGGATTGTAGTCTCGTCAGAGGTGCGGCAATCCTTGAGTATCCGGTGATGAAACGCTGATAATAGCCTGCCAACCCCATGAATGAACGAACGTCYGTGGTGTTGGTGGGCTCGGGCCGTACGCGGATGGCCTCGATCTTGTCCGCAAGTGGACGGATGCCTTGCGGCGTCACATAGTGTCCCAAGTACTCCAGCTCTTGCCGCGCGAATTCGCATTTGTYGCGGTTGGCTTTGTACTTSGCYTGTCRTAGCCGTTCCAGAACGGTGCGCAGGTGCTCCACATGCTCGTCCAAACTCCGACTGTACACCAAGATGTCGTCGAGGTAGATGAGTACGAAACGATCCAGCATGTGTCGAAACTCCAATGTCATAGCCGCCTGGAATGTGGCTGGGACATTCGTAAGGCCAAACGGCATGACCAGCCATTCGAAATGCCCATATCGCGTTTTAAACGCGGTCTTGTATCGGTCCTCCGGGCGAATCTCAAGTTGGTGATAACCCGACTTGAGGTCCAACTTGGAGAAGAACTTGGCGCCGCCCAGTCGCTCCAGGAGATCGTCGATGCGTGGGAGAGGGCCGGCGTTCTTGACCGCCTGCGCGTTGAGCTTACGATAGTCGATGCACAACCGCAAATCCTTGTTCTTCTTCCGGACGAAGAGAACAGGCGCACCATATGGCGAAGAGCTAGGTCGAATCCAACCTTTCTCCAGAAGGTCGTCGAGTTGTGCCCGTAGCACACTTAACTCTTCCTCGCTCATTCGGTAGATGCAACCACGCGGAGGTACAACCCCGTCCTCGAGGATGATCTCGTCGCGGATGGGCCGATCCGGTACTACTCCGTGCGGGGCCTCGAACACGTCACTATAAGTGGCGAGAAGCTCAGTGATGCGTGGCTCCGATGATGCGTCCGTTAATGGGGTGTCCTGGGGCGGGAGGGCGTGGAGAAAACACACCCCCATCTCCTCAATGTCATCCTTGATGATGAAACCTCGAATACTTGCGGCGGACACCACGTGACAGCTGATCGAAGGGTGAGGAGGAGGCACAGTGCATGGGACTAGTACTCCATCCCGGTCACGAACGTGAACGGTGCGGCGGTAGAAGTTCACCGGGTGGTCCTCACTTCGCAACCATGACATGCCCAAAATCATGTCGAGCTTAGTGTCCAGAATGTCGAAGGACACGGCCTTGCGTGCATGCGGGGCGAAATACACAGGGACGTTGTCAATGCACCGGTCAATTGACTTGTGCGTGTGATCATCGGCCAACGTCACGTGTGTCGGATGGGACTTCCTCCTGACGCGTGGGCCAAGGCCGGCGCGTACCATGAAGTCCTGACTCATGTAGTTGCGAGTTGCACCGCAATCGTTCAAGGCGCTCCAGGTCGCCTCTCCGATCTGAATGCGTACATACAACAATGGTGCGTCAATGTTGTCGTACCGTTGTGTCTTGAACTCGCGGTCGATCTTCGCGATGTACTCCTGAAGGTCGACAACCTCTACTCCGGCGTCCATCAACGGAGTTGGTATTGCAGTGTGCAAATACTCCCGCAATTGTGCCATAAGCACATTGTAATGCGGTTTCGACAATCGATCGGTCGGGGGAACGGGCATCCACTGGAAGTCCGCGACTGTCAACGGGTCGAGCTCTTCAAGTCTTGACCACATCGACGAATCCCCTGAGGTAAATCATGGCGGAACTGCCGAATCGGTTGCCGATGGAGATGAAACCGTGCATGCGGTGGAGTGTTGCACCTGGAGTGGTTGGTCCAGCGGTGGGACCAAGTGGACAGCATAGTCCTCGTAAGTGACACGAGAACTTGCGACATTCGCATCCTCCCCAGATATGTAGGAGGCTGCTAGCAAGGCGGCCGGATCTGGCGGAGTGGGAGGTGGAGTCGCCTCACCTCCCGCGCTACTCAGTTTCCCGAGTTGTTGCGAGGCCGAACATCCTCCTTCTCCTTGTCCTGGCAGAGGGAGGTCTTGTGCTTGGTGCTATTGCACCAGTAGCAGCAGCCGTACCGACCACGGTACTTGTATTCGGCCTCGGTCAAGTTAAACTTGGCCCATGGCGCTGGCTGTCCTGTTCCAGCCGATGATGCGGTCTTCCCCTTCCCATTGTTCCGGGACTTGTTGGTGCTTCTCGGCTGGACAGCAGCCACCTGATCTCCTTCACTTGATGCCTTGGTGGCTGCCGGGTCGTCTCCACTGTCCGATTGGACTGCAGCGAAATGCTGCTGCCGCGGACCAGTCTTTACCTTCTCCACATAGGTTGGCTGCCATGCTGATTTCTCATGTGCAGCCGCCCTATTAGTCTTGATGATCTCCCTCGCTTTGTCGATGATCTCAGCGAAGGTTGAGTACTACTCGCGATCACCAAGTGCCTGGCTCAGTGCAGCACATGACCTATTGTAGAACTCTCGGCGCAGATCCGGCATTGCCGCAATCTTTTGCCATTCCGTGAGCCAGTCTCGTGTTGCCGTGTTGCCTTGGGTCATGGTGAAGAGGCGGTTGATGGCGAGGGCAGGCGCGTCGTCGACGATCAACCTCTTCTTCCACAACCGTGTCAACTCCTCCCATGTGATTTTGTCTCAAAGATCTACCACGTCGACGCTGTGAGTGGCTGCCAGATGGGTCAACTAAGTCTCGCATGCGCCCTTTGAGTTAAGGAAAAGGGCACCGATGTATGCGTGCTTGGCGACTGGCAGGATCCGAAGCTGCGTCGTGAATGCGTCCCACCAGAGGACCGGATCCTGATGCGTGTAGTCGTCGAACTTCTCGAGTTGGAAGGTTGGCATCTTGTACAACTTAGGATTGCCCTACGAGTTCGTCGACTGCAGCTACTGGACCTCGGTCTTCAAGGTGTGCAGCTGACTGCTGATGGTGGTAGGTGCAGCGAAAACACTGATGTCCCCGCGCATCGCCACTACGTGGTCAACGCGTTCCTCCAGTTGGCGGCTAGAGGGTTCACTGCTGGACGTACCAGCATTTGGTCCTGGTACAAACTGTTCCAGGTCCAGTACACGAGCATTGAGTGCCTGTGTTGCATCCTCGTGGACCTGCACTATTCGGCGGAGGTCTGCCAACTCTTGGTGCTGTTTCTCTAGTTCGGCCCGTTGGTAGTTGCAAGTATACAACAGGCGTCACACGAGCTTGGAGAGAAACTCCTTGTGTTGCTCTTCCGGTGTCGGCTCGTCGCCGTTTGGTTCAAAGTGCCAGTACTTTAGCCTTTCGATGCTGGCTGCTTCATGGCGCTGCAGCAGCTCCTGGGCTTCCTTTCAGCGTGCCCTGGTGTGTGCCTCGGCTTCGGCCTGAAGCCGCTGCCTTTCAGCTGCCGCTGCCGCCTCAGCCTGTAGGCGAGCAGCCTCTGCTGCCGCCTGGCGCTGTTCCTCGGCCAGAATGAGCGCGAGCTGAGCCTGGACCCGCTGTCGGTACTCGGTGATGGACTCGTTGGCCAGTTGGCCTGGTAAGCCCAGCGCTGGTCCCGTCATGGTTGCTGACCTGGCACTGCTGACGTGGCACTGCTGACGTGGCA